ATGTGTTACTAAGCGTGAAAGTTCCGAAACTGAAGCTGTAGAACTAATAGAACGTGATGACACAGAAGAACTCATCCACAATATCCACATTGACCGCCACAAATATCCACCGCCCCCTGCCATCAGCTCCCGCGTCTCAAACACACACGAGCGCGACTTTAGCTCTAGATTTAGCAAATTTCTGATTATTTTAGCTGCTTTTTTTCCCCATAGAATATTCATACTGACAAACCTAGTGACTTTTTTGGATAAACCTTAGCTATGGTTCAGTTGGAAAATTTTGCCAGTGCTGTCCCGCGAACGCAAGGTCTGACTTTCCCGGTGAAGTGTCACCTCTCTCGGTGTCTGTTCTGTGCAGTGAGCGTCAGAGAAGCAGCGCATTCAGTTGGCCGCACCGCAGCTGACTCGTCAATAAATGAGTACAAAACAGTGTTTCCTAGCACCTGTCGCTTACTGATTGTTTGGAATTATAAATATGAGCGTAGTTTGTCTGTTAATATCACATGCACTTTTTGTTTGTTGTTTTTTTTTGTTTGTTACTCAGACGCAGGCAGTGCGCTGCATGAGACAAAAAAGTAATAGAGCCAAAACAACCGCATAGCCGCTCTTTAGTGTAGATGCATGTTGATTTTATCAGACGATGCCGCGATTATAAATGAGAGTGACTCCTGGTTAACATGTATTAAAAGGGGTCGTGTTTAGTCACTATTTAGTGTGGTATTTTTTGACAATATTCACTCATCATGACAGTAAAATAGGGCATTCTAAGTCAATATACTGCAGTATTTCCTCTCTCAATCAGTAGAAAATATGGTTAACACCCGGTCGGCCATGCATGAGAAAAAAATACCGTCATGTATCGTGAAACCGGTATAATTTCGATTTTGAAAAATACCGTGATATAAATTTTTGGTCATACCGCCCAGCACTAAAATAAGATATATTGTTTTAACAGGAAGTTCCTCCTGTTCCTTCAATAAGTGAAAAGTTGCCAGCTGTAGTGTCACCGAAAGCCAGACTGTTATGTATTAAAGCGCTGGAAAATTCTTGACACTTCTGTTGTCTCCAGATCTTGTCTTATTGACCTCTCGTGCCCTTTTCTCTCTGTCCAGTGATGGAAATGGTGCAATCATTTAACATTTCATAAAGGTCAACTTGAAAAACTCAAAGAGCTAAATATTGATAATGTCTGTGCATTGACTGACATTTCTCATTTGTTATGAGCGCTTAGACAAAAAAATTGAAGGTTCTGCAACAGCGAAAGGTGAATCACCACTCAAGATATCTGCTCTGTGCTTTACGTTGTTTTAAGCTGTTTGGTGAGCTAAACTGAGCCACAACTTGGAGATCTGATTGAACAAGAATGATTTTGCCTCATTTGAGTCCTTGCGCAGACATCTGCTCTGCTTTTTTGTAACAATATTCAAAATAATTGATAATATTTATTATTACATTAATTAGAAAATGAATTACAAAAAAGTCTAAACAGATTATATTCAGATAAATAATGCTGTTTAATTCTATCATACTGTTGATAATAAAAAAAGATAAATCAATTAATAATATAATCTCGTAATTATACACTACCAGTCAACATGCTTTGAACAGTAAGATTTTTTGTTTTTTTTTAAAGAATTCTCTTCTGCTCACATTATTATAATTTTTTTTTTTTTTCATCGCTGTTGTTTTAATGTACTGGGAAGCCAGAATGTGCATCCATCAACAGAAACATACATTAGCCGGACCCTGTTTGTTTAACATGTTGTTATTTATAATAACAGATGCATTGTCAGATTTAAGTTGAACCGCGGTCCTAGTGCGTGCCGAACCATGTGTGGAGAACTGTACGGTTACATTTTTATTTATTTTTTTTAACCGAGAACTGTTCCACCCCTATTTATAATGTTACAAAATATTTCTATTTCAGATAAATGCTGTTCTTCTGAACTTTCTATTCATCAAAGAAACCTGAAAAACATATTATTAATAATAATAATAATAATAATAAATGTTTTTTGAGCAGCAAATCAGAATATTAGAATGATTTCTGAAGGATCCTGTGACTGGAGTAATGATGCTAAAAATGCAGCTTTGAAATCATAGGAATAAATTAAATTTTAAAATATATTCAAATAGAAAACAGTTATTTTAAAGAGTAAAAACATTTTTTTTTACAGTTTTTGCTGTAATTTAGATCAAATAAATGCAGGATTGGTGAGCAGAAGAGACTTCTTCAAAAAATATATATATTGTTCAAAAACTTTTGACTGGTAGTGTATATTTAAAGGAATAGTTCATCCAAAAATGAAAGATCTGTCATCATTTATTCACCCTCAAGTTGTTCAAACCTGTATGAGGTTTTTTTCTTCTGTTCAGCACAAAAGAAGATATTTTGAAGAATGTTGGCAACCAAACTATTGACTGTAGCCATTGACTTTCATGGTATGGCGGAAAAAAATACTATGGAAGTCAATGGGTACCATCAACATTATTCAGAATATCTTATTTTGTGCTTGACAGAAGAAAATACTCATACTGGTTTGGAATGACATGAGGGTACCTAAATTATAAGATAATTTTTAGTTTTTGGTGAACTATGCCTTTTAAAAATATACATTAATCCATATTAAAATAATAATAATCTCCAATATAGTTAGGTAGTTTTTTGATAGTAACAGATAGTACAGAGTCTTGACTACTTCATAAATAACTTGTAATCTTTCAGGCTTCCCCAGACTCTTGCTACTAGACATTTAACCAATTTAGAAAGCTAACCATATTTTGAACTGATAATAAATAGATTATGATCCAGGTTGAAGTTTTAAAAAGGGATGACAATACCTTTTGAATTTATAGATGAGGAACACGGCTAAACCCACCACCACCACAGAGAGGAGCATGAGCATAGCTGAGCCGCTGTGGTTCTCACTTGTGTCCACTAGAGGCGCTAGACGCAGGGGAAAATAAAACAGGCAACTGTTGTCAGTGCACACAGTCTGGCACGATTCCAGCCCTCCTATTAATAAACCGTCACACATCTCTAAAATTAAAATCCCTCAATCTTTATAGAAAAGAGCTTCATTGTGCAATCAATGTCATATGGGAACTGTTCATCTAAAAATGATAATTCTGTCATATATACCATCTGCAAGCCTCCTCTCGTTGATATCCAGAAGAACAGTGTTTGATTCTAGTTCATTACCTGCTGATAAATGGGCAGCGTATACTGTGATCTGGACTCCTGGTCTGAGTGTGAACTGAACCAGATTCTGATTCAGAGCGCTGAGAACCAGTTCTGAGAGCTGAAAGCAAAATCACACATTCATCATATTCATACCACACTGGATGAGAAAACACTGCCTTGCATATGATGCATCCAAATCTGTTCAATTAAATTACATAAGCAGTCACAAAAAGAAATAAGACGTTCGTGTCCCGTAGGTATTTGTTTTCCCTGGTTCTGAGCCTGGTGAGTCCTGATGCATTTAGGCAAAGCGTGGGCTCGGGATGTTGTTTGTCGTACGTGAGCCACACTGAGAAGACGTTTCAGCATAAATCAACTCTATCACCTTCACTCACAAATACAGATATATGACATAGGAGGGGGACCTCATTTAGGCCTAACATCTCTCTTCTCTCTCTCAAACACACACAGAGCCCTTGACTGTCAGGCGCTTTTATGTATGCATAAATCTTGAAAGCAGATAGTTATTTCCCTCCCCAAATAAAGCCTTGTTTGTTTTTGTGCTCGATTATGGCAGATCATGTATTTAAGGGTCATTCTGGAACAGGTGCTTCCAGTTTGATCATTTCTAAAGTACTTGTTGTTTTGTTTTTTTCTCTCTGTCAGAGAGTGTGTTTCAATGTTAATAAATGGCACTGCGACATTTCATCTTAAATTAATATAATTTAATATGGGTCAGGGTATAATTATGCCTACAGAAAGGTGACACGGTTTATGGTAAAAAGATTGACAGTTTAATTTGTCATGACAAGACTTGTGCATAAAGTCATAAAATACAATGTAATTCTCACCTTTATTTTATGCCTACATTTATAGAAATATATTTTCAATGAAATACAATGTGCTTCTCAACTTTATTTTATGCCTACATTTATAGAAATATATTTTCAATAATTATTTGTTTTTCACATTGTAAAAGGACTCACAGGAATTAAATATCTTTGCTTACTGACAAAGACAGCCAAATCAAATAAAATAAAATAAAAATTTCCTTTGGAATGTGCACTTTCTGAAATTGTGATACTTTTATTATTAAAGAAAAAAAAAGATAAATTGATTAAAAAAAGGTTTTTGAACTCTAACTCTTTGTTGAAGAGCACACTTTCTGAAACGGTGCTAACTTTATTATTAAAGAGTTGCTGTTTTTTCTTTTTTTTTGGATGATGGATTAGTTTATTATGATTATAATAAATATGATGTTAACAGTTCAAGGAGAACTAGATTTAAGGACAATGTAATTAATTAATTCTATTATAGAATTATATTTGATTCGTTTTAGAAAAAATACTAAGTATAAAACTACAGCATATTAGCTCATTGAGATGTAGACATAATTTAGTCACTGTTAAAGGTGACTGTTTTTTTCTTACTGTTTTTTATTTTTCATAAACAACTCTTAAGCTTCATCTTGAGCATCAGATCTGAGTTCAGCGATGATAGTACTAAACTTCACATAAATATACTTCCTGTTCAAAGAATCTTTCTACCCAAGCTTCATTAAATCTGTCTAATTTACTAAATGACTCCTGACTTATTTCTGTGCTCCTTTATTTCTTCATCGCTCTCACCTTCTGTCTCTCTCTCTCTCCTTATTTCTCACCCTTTTAAAATTAGACCATTCCATGAATAATTACTTTCTTTATGAATTGCACCAGGGTCAGTCAGTCTATTATACTTTTTTAATAAAGCTATCTACACATTATACTTTGAACACGCCACCCTTGAATTGAGATTTATGAGGATTTGCAGTGAACGGTCCATTGCAGATTCAAGCTAGGTTTGGGCGAACCCCCCCCCCCCCCCCCAAACAAAAAAGGACGCGCAAGCGACCTCACTATCCAGTAAAACGCATCCCTTCCATTTACAGGGCGTGTAGCTATTGCTCTTCAAGAACAAGACAGAGGCAAATTAATTGGGTTAAAATATCGTCCACTCAGCCGGAAATCAAAAGTCAGTCTGGACCTCAGCAGCCATCAGGAAATAACGGCTGTTTGAAAACATGCTTGTGGGGAAGCACATGGTCTGCGTATCTGCGGGTAATGATTGTTTTCTCTCGCTCAGTCTATGCAATAACGGCCACGCTGCTTCCCGTAAAAGACCTATTCCTCAGCTATTAGTCCATCTAATATCCTGCTCTCATCTCGTTACAGTCCATGTAATGCGTGGAGGAGCACACGACAGGAGCCTGACCAGAACCAGTGAGTCCATTCCAGCAGCTAACTGTACATTAAAGGTGAAGCATGTCTTTCTTGTGGTAAAAATAAAGGGATAGTTCATCCAAAAATGAAAATTCTGTTATCATTTACTCACCCTCCACTTGTTCCAAACCTGTACAAGTTTCTTGCTTCTGTTGAACACAAAAGAAGATATTTTGAGGAATGTTGGTAACCAAACAGTTGACGGTACTGACTTCTTTTTTTTCATACTATAGAAGTCAACGGCTAGAAGTCAAGAAGCCATTTTGAACATTCTTCAAACTTCATTCTTCAAACTAAATTTCATGTTATGCTCTTTTGTCGCTTTTTATTCAATTTTGTTTTTTTTTTTATATTTCTAAATGGCTTTAATTTATTTTTATTTCAGTTTTAGTAATTTTAGTTAATCAGTTTAAACTTATTTCAGTTAGGTTCTAAGGCAACATTTAAAATTTTCATCTATTTTGAATCAGTTTTCATCCAATATTTGTAATTTATTTGAACTTTATTTCAATGTATGAAAACAATTTTTAATAGTTTTAGTTTTCAAGGCTGTAATCATGTCTTGAACATTGTTTATGAAGTAAATCCTGCTTAGGCACCCATGCATGGACATCCACAAAGTGCAGATATCCCCCTATTATCTGTGATATATCTCTGGCCCATAAACGATCTAGTGGATGGATTACTTATGACCTCCTCTATAGTGGTGAGAAACCACTGCCTCAAAAATACAGATGACTCTGCATGTTAATATTGGAGGATATGAGCCATCTTCTCATATTCGATAATGGCTGTTCTCTGTTATGGCCAAATATACTGCAGTATGGCCAGAATCATCCATGACCTCACAAGTGAGTTATAAGAAATGTATCTCATTAAGCTCTGACATCTAATCAGAAAGACACTTTTTCTGATACTTTCTGAAGCTGCTTATGAAAGCGTATTTATGTGCTTGTCTCATAACCTAGTACTTCATTTCAGGAGAACATTAGAGACTTTCTGATCAAGAACAAACTCTGTGGACTAGTAAAAACAGGTTTTTGTCAAGCGTTAAATAGGCCAACATTGACATCTGCTGGAGACCATAAGAAGCTCTTGTCAAGATCCTCCTTTTACCCACCATCCTTTTGTATTTGAAAGGAGGACTGAAAATGGTATTTGAATATCTGAGCCTTTTCTTCTGAATACGAGACAAAGGTAAAGCAAAACATTAATTATAGCTGAGTGTTTCACAGCTGAGATTGAAAATCATGCATAATGTACCTGGTCTAAATGGGTGGCTGTTTTGTCTGGTTTCCCCTCTGTCAGCTGTTTGTCTGATAACAGGAAGAACTCGGCCGCTGTTGGCAGTCCAGGCAACACAGTGACCAACAACTGCTCTGGATTCACTCCTGTCGCCTGAAGACCAGCAAACAGACTCTTAGAGATACAAACATCCAATAAAAAGGATTAGAGGAATACAAGAATCAAAGAAATAACAAATAAAAAGGACAATGTCTTTCTAATATTCTTTTGAGACTGACTTTTTACCCCAATTATGTTTTTATTATTTATTATTATTATTATTGTTGTTGTTGTTATTTAGTATACTTTATTATTATTATACATGCATTAATACTTCAATAATGTGTTTTTATTCATTGTATTATTATTATCATCATCATCATTATTATTATACTATTATTATTATTAATACTTCACTTGTTATTTTTTATGAGTTATTATTATTATTATTATATACGTATTAATACCTTTATTCAGCAAGGATGCATTAAATTGATCAAAAGTGACAATTATGCTTTATGATGTTTTTCAAATAAATTCTGTTCTTTTGGACTTTCTATTTATCAAAGAATCCTGAAAAAAAAATCACAGTTTTGACAAAATGATTAAGCAGCATAACCATTTTTTGACATTAATTATGATAAGGAATGTTTCAAATCAGCATATTAGAATGATTCGTGAAGGATCGTGTGACACTGAAGACGCAAATATTTATCACATAAATATTATTCAAATGGAAAACTTTTTTTTTTTAAATTGTAATAATACTTCACAATATTGCTGTTTTTACTGTAGTTTTGATTAAATAAATGCAGAATAAGGGACTTCTAAAAAAAAAAAACTTTTGTGTGTATATTTGAGCCATTATTTAAAAGGGTCTCGAAAATAAATACGCAAAAAATATTAATTATATATAAAAATTAAAATAATACAATAAAATTAATTGTTTCTGTCTCAAGAATACACACGGTTACACTTTCAGTTGCTGCAATGCAATTTAAAGGTTCAAAATTCAGTTAAAAAAGTAACATTTCAACATCATTTACGCCCTCGTGTCTTCTAGATGAGTTGAACCAGATTTGACATCATGTTGCACATCATTGGTTCCCACTCTTGCAACAAATCAATTCTTATGTATTTCCCCTTTTGTGTTCCACAAACGAAAAATGGTAGGGTTTGGAATGAAATGAGGGTGAGTAAATAAAGAGAGGATTTTTATGTTTTTCAGAAAATAAATATATAAAATTCTCCTTGGTTCGCTTTACAAGGACACAACGTCCACCTCGTTCCTGTCCATATGCCCAGCGCAAAACTCATTACACACATTACCACTAACCAACTAGAGCAGAACACGCATATGGCTCACATGAGGACTGTTATTCTCAAGTGTCATATTCCATAAACATCCATAAAGTAAGTCCCCATGTTCAGTTATAACGGTCTCTTGAAAATGCCATGGGGGAAATGCAGGAGAACACTGATGATTATTTCGGTCTGTCGTGCCATATGTTTGAATATTTGTGAAGCTTGTTCTGTCACGGTGGTGTTTCCCTTCCATCAGTGAGAGCGAATCTGGAAGCCAATTTCACAAGTGTGTCAACTTGAGTTCTTCAAGCAAAGTGTGGAGCGTGAAAACCCAACAAAGCTCCTGACTACACTTGTGTTTGTACACTTTTTATACCTGGAATGGATATCATATATATATATACCGTTCAAAAGTTTGGGATCAGTAAGATTTTTTATGTTTTTCTTTTTTTAAGTTATGCTCATCAAGGCTACTTATCTGATCAAAAATACAGGCTGTAATGCTGTGGAATATTATTGCAATTTAAAATAACAGTTTCTATTTTAATTTTAAAATATTATTTATTCCTGTAAAGCAAAGCTGAATTTTCAGCATCATTACTCTAGTCTTCAGTGTCACATGATCCTTCAGAAAGCATTCTAATATGCTTATTTATAATCAATTTGGGAAACAGTTGTGCTGCTTCATTTTTATTTTTTTGGAACCTGTGATATTTTTTTTGCAGGATTCTTTTATGAATAAAAATAAATAAAAAGAATAGCATTTTTTTTCAAAATAGAAATCTGGTGTTAATTGAAATAATATTTCAGAATATTACTGTTTTTTTCTGTATTTTTGATCAAATAAATCAACAGCCTTGATGAGCATCAGATACTTTGTTAAAAAACTTTAAAAAATCATATGTGACCCTGGACCACAAAACCAGTCTTAAAGGTCAGTTTTTCGAAATTGAGATTTATACATCATCTGAAAGCTGAATAAATAAGCTTTCTGTTGATGTATGGTTTGTTAGGACAATATTTGACCGAGATACAACTATTTGAAAATCTGGAATCTGAGGGTGCAAAAAATCTAAATATTGAGAAAATTGCCTTTAAATTTGTCCAAATGAAGTTCTTAGAAATGCATATTACTAATCACAAATTCTGTTTTAATATATTTACAGTAGGAAATTTACATAATATCTTCATTGAACATGATCTTTACTTAATATCCTAATGATTTTTGGCATAAAAGAAAAAT